TGAACAAAACCATAAGGGCTTTGAATCACTTTGCCTATTTTCCCTGACACTTGCACTTGTGGATTGCTTGTATCCAGGGTTTGATTGTACCCTGGTTATTTTACCTCCTACTCATCCTCCTACAGATACTCTTATTCAGAGAGAAAATCATATTTTACAATGAATATTTTTGTCACGCAAACGGTAGAAAAAAATTAAATACCTATGTAAAAAAAGGTTTATAAATTGATTCTAAAAGGAAAATTGAGACTTAACAGGAATAGACCTAGCAAAAATTGTGGATCCTTTTATTATGGGCAAAAAAAAAAAAAAAACTTACAGTAATTTTTTGGGAGAGAGTAACAACAAATATCCCAAAGCAAAAGACTTCTCTCTCTCTCTCTCTCTCTCTCTCTCTCTCTCTCTCTCTCTCTCTCTCTCTCTCTCTCTCTCTCTCCCACTCCCTCTCCATATTGGATTTTTCTTTACATGGTATGAGGAACACCAATTTCTGGAGCCTCCACACTCTATACTGATGAAATAAATCAGGAAAGGCAGCATATGTCAGGGAAAATAGGCAAAGTGATTCAAAGCCCTTATGATTTTGTTCAAACGTCAAAATAATCACATGATATCCAAGCTGTAAACAGCCCATTGGCTGTATCACCTTGTTAATAGCTCTTAGATCCAATACCATTCTCCATTTTCCAACTTTCTTTTTAATGGCAAGTATAGGAAAATTCTAAGGACTGGTCAATTCTCCAGTATGTTGAGCATTTATCTGTTCCTGTACCAGCTGATCTAGTGCCTGTAATTTTTCTGATGTTGGAGGCCATTGCTCCACCCAGACACATTTGTCATTTAACCATTTAAAGGTAGGGTTGTTGGTACCTCTGAAAGCTCAACAGCTGTTGTGTCCTGCTTATGTACAACCTGAATGGTCTGTGGCTGTTCTGGATAATACCTTTTAATTTTATCAGAAGCATTTTCAATTTTATGGCTTGTTTCTGAGATTGGAGGAATGCTAATCTGTGTTTTCCATTGCTGTAACAAATCATGTCACCATAAACTCGCTGTTATGTTAGCCACATATGGCTTTAAGTTCCCTATCTGTCCTTCTGGCCCTATACTCTCGACCTTCCTTGTACTTTGTTTTCCCTGAGATAAAGTTCCGTTTCCTAGAAGCTGAACATTTACCTCCGAAGATGCCAATCCCGATGCTAAGATTTTGGTGAAATTACTGTTACATATGCACATGCCATTTATTTGTATTTTTAGTTCTTGGTCTTTGATCATTTATAGATGTTTGCCAAAACACTTGTTTTATGGTCTTCCCTATAATTTTTGTTTTATTTATTGAAGCTGTTCTATCATCCAGAGCAGTATGGTTTTTAACAATAGGCATTAAGTGTTTTAATTGCTCTGTAGAGGAATTTCCCCTATGTCAACAGGGGACAATTGAACCAAATTTGACATTGGGGCCTATGAGAGAGGCCCTCGGAGGCATTTCCCAATGGCAAAATGCTACCTTGCCTGTTCCTTTTTGTTCTGCATTGATTAGTCCAATGCCAGTCTTTGCTGCACTTTTTATATATGCCAGAAGGCTGGGGCCTTCTGTTTGGATCATCTCTAGAAAAAAAAACATTGTTTCTAGGAATGCCTTGCCTACAATTCCTTTTCAGTTGACCTTGTTTACCAAAATTAAAACATCTGACCTTTTGATTTTTCTTGAAATTTTTAGAAATTATTCATCTTATCAAAGCAGCATCATAAACATGAGATTCTTGTTTTTATTTTTGTTTTTGTTTTGTTTTTTTTTTTGGTTTTTTTCGAGACAGGTTTCTCTGTGGCTTTGGAGGCTGTCCTGGAACTCGCTTAGTAGTCCAGGCTGGTCTCGAACTCACAGAGATCCGTCTGCCTCTGCCTCCCGAGTGCTGGGATTAAAGGCATGCACCACCAACGCCCGGCTTTTCTTTCTTGTTTTTTTTTTTGTTTGTTTGTTTTTTTGTTTTTGGTTAAACATGAGATTCAAAGCTGGGTTCTGGTGGCCCACTCCTTTAATCCCAGCTAGCTGCATGGACAGGATGTGCCACGCAGGGAACTGGAGTGAGCAGCCTCAAGTGCGAATCTAGGGAAACAGAGGGTAAAGCCCCAGCTAGGACTCAGCCTGGGAGGGGACGGAGCCTGCTGTGAGCAGCAGGGTGTAAAGAAACTCTGCAGGCTGTCATTGTCATGCCTGGGAGAGAGCAGCCGGTGCACATCTAGGGGAGGGTCTGGGGTTATGGAGGAAGGCATCTGCAGTGGCTGCCCTGCACCACTTTGGCATGATCTAAGGCCACACATTAGATGCCAGATACTGTGAATTCTTTTACTGTTTTATTAATAAATAAAGCAGGGGGAGTGGGCAGATATTAGGGTATTTACTTACCTGACAGATCCACAGAGCTATGGAGAAAAAGATCAGCTGCCTTTCTCCCCACCTCACATCAGAAAAAGGCCGCGAATCTTTCCAAGCCCCTCTTTATGCCTCTCTGAGTCCCAGAAAAGCTCTATGGTTCGTTCCAGCCAGAGGGACATGGAGTTCACCCTCTGACTCAAGGCCCAACTCCTTTGGCAATCTTTGAATGACAATACAAACAAGCCTCCTGCAACAGACGTGACCTGTTCCCTATTTCCTGGGGCTGATTTTATGTCTCTTCCAAAAAAGTGCCTAGTGCCTCCTACCACGGGCTGTCCTGATTAGATTGCAAAGGAGGATCTGGCAGAGCAGCAGGTACCTACCATGCATACCACCTCACTGCTCTGTGCCAAAACACGTTCCCAACTTCACTTCCCTGTGCCAAAAACGTGTTCTCCAACTTCAGCTAGTTGGACTAGATTGGGTGGGGACAGAGAGCTCAGGATTAGGCATCACTCTTGAATGAAACACATTCCACAGCCAGGTAAACAGGGCGCGGCAGAGGTGGGCCCAGCCCAGCTTCCTTGCTGAGGGTTGTGTGCTTAGGTCTGCTGTAAGAGCTTGCTGTCTGCCCCTCCCGGCCCTGCCATTCCTACTCAGCTGAGGCCTCTAGACTGGCCCAGCACATCTCTTCCTAGAACTTTCTCTGCTCACAAGTCCTCTCTAAGACCTGCTTGTGGTTTGTGGGTGACTCACACTCTGGCCATCCCTCCTTTGGGAGGAAGGAACAAAGAAGAGGGGTAGGAGGGACTTCCACCAGGATTGGGGGTGCCTTTGCCAAGCTCCACTTCTGCCTCCTATGAACTGGGCTTTTCAGTCGCCAGCTTACTACATAGGGCAAGAGGAAGCCCTGACTCAAGAAGTCTGGGTCTCTGGAATATCTGAAGAGAAAGTTAGTATCAGAGAAATTATCTCCAAGCTACAGTAAATATCCAACTTATATTTACTGTAAAACAAGTAAGTTTAGAAGATTCTAAGAACATTCAAAAATTATTCATGTTACCTTTCCATAGACATCATAATTGGCTCTTTCCCAGTCTTTCTGGTATGCCTATAAAAGTGTATTTTTTAAAAGATCTGAGTGGATTATATAAAATTGGCACCCCCCCCCAAGGTTTCTCTGTATAATCCTGGAACTTTCTCTCTGCAAACCAGGCTGTTCTTGAACTCAGATCTTTGCCTCCTGAGTGCTGGCATCAAAGGTATGAGCCACCACTGCCCTGCAGGACCAATTTTTTTCCCCAGTATTGTTTTTGTTTCAATTATTTGAGTTAGTTTCATTCTGTAGCCCAGGTTGCCTCAAACTTGTGAATCTCCTGCCTAAGCCCCGTTTGCTGGGATGCAGTCATGCGCTGCCTCACTTGGCTGTTGTCCTTGACAGTTTTTATGCCCTGTCTTTTAACTTGCCACGGGCACGCACCCATTTTCTCAATTATTCTTGAATAATCTTAGTGGTTCTCTAACAGCACAGTCAATGATAAACTAGACTTATGAGCCAGGGGTGAAGCAGGGTTTACTTCCAGGACAAAGGGAGGCATGAGCATGGTTCTGCATCGTGTAATCCTGTCACTGAAGAGGCTGGGGCAGGAGTCTGAGGCAGGCTTGGCTATGCAGGAGACTGTCTCAAAAAACCGAAAGACAGATTGATATGAGAGGGAGTCATTTTATCGTTTCCTCCCTCCTGCCTTTCCCCTGGATCCTCGCCGTTCTGTTCCTTCCTTCCCCCACTCACGCTCACAGTGTGTGCGTGTGCATGTGCGTGTGTTCACGTATGTATGTGGAGATCAGGCAACCCTGGGTATTATTTTCAGGTGCCGGTACCATCCACCCTCTCCCCTTTTTAGATAGAATTTCTCACTGGTTTGGATCTTTGGATCTCACCAACTAGGCTAGACTGACTGGCCAGTGAGCCCTGCCTATCCCTGCTTCCCCAGCACTGGCATTACAAGCATGCACCACCATGTTCACCTTTCCTTATGTGGGTTTTGGGGATCAAATTAAGGTCCTGATGCTTGCAAGGCACCAGCTGAGATATTTTTCCAGCCTCCCTTCCATCCTCCAGGGCTCTTGGGGACGTCTCTCTTTGAAGTTGTCTGTGAGGCACCAGCTCAGACTCCATCCAGAGCATAGTACCCCACAGCATCCCACTGTAGCACGGACTATATCTCATTAACGGGTTTTCTTTGGACTGTCGAGATGGCTCAAATAATAAGGGTACTTGCTGCCAAACCTGATGACCTAAGTTTGAGTGCCCAGAAGCCCCTGGTGGAAGGAATCAACCGAGGCTTTTCTGTTCTCTTGCATGTTAAGCTTCACGACCTCTGCCCCCACACCTGCCCTCCATCAGCATCCCTCTTTTAAGGCTCCTATGGTCAGTCTGGGGTCTCAAGGACCCACAGAGGCCTCTCACCCATGTTTTTTTCCTATAGCATCTTCCTATCGCTCCATACTCTTTTCCTTCAGGTAGCAACTCCCTGGGGGCAGACTGGTTACTGGAACATCGGGTTTAGTTAAAGAGAGAACGGGTTAGAACAAGTTACACAGGACCACTGCAACCCAGGAGTAACCATTATGACAGTTTTATTCAAGTCTCTGAGAGCCCTGGTGTTGGGACCAGGCCAAGATCAGCATTACACTGTAATACAGTGGGAGGCTTGGCCACTGAACCAAGCCTGCTTGGCATCCCTCGTTAACAATGTACAGTACCTTGAAAGAAATGAAAAGAAAAAGCCAGAGGAAAGAACCTGATAATACGCTTCCTTCAGGACATTTCCCTCTTTAAATATTTCTGACAACACACAATAATTTAAATTCCAAAGGAAATAGGAACTCAAGGAGGGACTCAGGATACACAGAGAAGGGAAGAAACCGGCATAGGAAATTTGTAGTTAGATATTGGAGGACGAAACAAACAGAGCTTTCACTTTACTTTCTAGACTCAAGGGTCCTAAGGGAGAAAGCCCCAAGAAAACTTTTTCAGAAAACCAGAGCCCAACCAATGCCTCTCCTGCAACCTTGAGGCCTTTGCCCCCACACCTGCCCTCCATCAGCCTCAGACGCTGTCTGTGGCGCTGTAGTTATGAACAAGTGAGACAGATGGGGGACAGGGGAAGCAGAACATTCGTGGGTTCACCACCTCCCTGCTTTGCTGCAGCTGGGACCAAGGCTCATGGTGACAGAGGGGCCACAGCATCCCTCCCTAGAAGACAGGAGCTGGAATAAGCTTCCAAATTCAAAGAATTGAAAACAAAGGGGAGCGGAACTACAGTGAGGAGCAACATCAGGGAAACTCTGAGCTGGAAACAGGAAAGAGACAGAGCCTTCAGTGATGCTGGGAGGGAAGGGAGATCCAGACATCCCAGTGAGCTCAGAATCCCTGCAGAACTGAGAAGGAGAAAGAGCCACCATCAGCAAAAAATGAAGTTTGCTGAGCTCTGGGGATATCACAGGTCAGCCAGGGGACACAACTCCGTAGGAAGAGGGTAATTCCAGAACCTCCACGGTCCAAACCGGGCTAATGTCATCTCAAGGCTTTTCCACAGTGGTCTAGAAAGGCACCCACAGACTAAATTCATATCTTAAACAGAGCAGAGCAGTGACTCGCTTCTCAGCTCTGTGATTCAGGCAAGCAGTATGAACACCCCGTGTCTGCTCACACATTCTTGGATGTAGGCAATACCCACCAATTCGGGGAAGTACTGTAAGAAATCACAAAATGTCTGCATATTTGTCCAGCCTCCTACGTGGAAGATTTAGTGGTTCCTTAAGATTTATCATTCAACTCCATATCTGGGCCAGGATAAACCCATGTCTCATTCTGACAGTAATGAAGAAAACAATGTTATATGTCTGTCATCTTAGCAATTAGCAAGTGGAGGCAGAAGGACCAGAAATACAAGGTCATCCTGGGCTATATGGCAAGTTTAAAGCCTGTCTGGGCCATATGAGATCCTGTCCAAAGTAATACTACTAATAAAAATAAAAAATAAAAGCCATAGCAGACGTGGCCTTCAAACTGGAGGTAGAATAAATGTCATGAGTGAAATGACGATGGAGGAGGGTAATAATGGCAGTGAAGCCGACACTGGTAGGGCGTGAAGGAACTATTAGAAGGCTTGCTGGGTAGGGGAAGAGACTGCAAAACTTAACGTGGGGGGGGGAGCAACAGAAAAGCCTCCATTCACTCCCTTCTGAGATCTTGGGTGAAAGAGTTTTGTCTATTCACTTCTAGAATTCCCAGAGAAGGTAAAGAATGTACAGGCTTCTCTCTGCATGATCACTTTCCTTCTGGAACACACTAGCATCCAGAAAGTGGCTTCCAAGAGCCCGAAAGGCAGCCAGAACAGGAAGGAAGGCAAAGTCACCCAGCTACAGTGCCAACTGTAAGAACTAGGTGTCTCACCATTGTATTTGAATGCAAGCGCTCCCAGGGGATGACACAGAACGTGCTGTGTGGGGTGGTAACGAGAACACAATATACAACCTATGTCAAACGCCACAGTCCTATCTGGAGATCCAGGAGACAGGCAAGCAGGGCCCAAACCAGGCACTTGTGTTGGATACAAATTTCAAGGGGATGTCAAAAATAATAATTTTTTTAAAAAAAAGCAGTAATCAAAGGCTAAACCATACTTCAATATAATTTTCTATACCAAAATTAATAAAACCATCCACGACGTGGTCAGTGCTCAGCCATATGGCTGCTTGTGCAGGAAGCAAGGTGTGAAAGATTTCAGGAATGAGGGTAACGCAGGACTCTTGAAACCTGGTCTTGAGTTTCCATGTATCACTTCCATGGTGTGTTCACATGTCAGGGCTTCCTTTACAGCCATTCTGACCTCTGAGTAGGGCTACCGCCTTTCCTGTCCCAGAAAGAAAGACTGGTCTTTGAACCCTAGATTCGTATTAGAATTTCTCACCCAGAGACACCATCGAGCTGTCATGTTCACACCTGATATTAAAGGGCGTGTCAGAGCAATCAGAAGGGAAGTGAGGGCAAGGTAACTAGAGCAACATGGAGCTCAGACAACTTCCCCAATCCCCAGGATCTTCTCTTTCCAACACAAGACTCCAGGGAAGGCAGGGACTGAGGCAATAAGAAAGCAAGAAGGAGCAGTCAGTCCCAGGGCAGAGCTCAGGAGAACCCAGTATTCTGAAAAGGCAGCCTAGAGCTTCTCCAGCAGCTTAGGGAGCCCCGGGTGCCTCCAGGGTCCACGACCAGAAATGGACAGAGAAGGCAATGAATGGGAATACCCGGAAACAGTTCATGAAAAAGGAAAAGAAACTCACCCGGTCTGCAGAGCCAGCCAGGAACTAGGTCTGGGGTAGACGAGTTAGGCCTGCATTAACTAGCCTTAATCAAACAAGATTCCCCTTCCTGGTTCCTGCCCTTCAGCTCAGTACCGGAGATGTTGAGAGTCCAAGCAGCAACACCAGGAAGAGTGCAAGGAGAAAGGCCTTTCTCCTGGTACGTGCAGATCTCACTGCGATTTGTGAACCAGGAACATAATGCTCTGCCATCTAGAAATGCGTTCCCAACAGCCACTGCATCCTGACAAGGAGTTATTCTCAGGAGAGGACAATGACAAGTGACACATGACTGAGCCCCATGAAATGGCCAGTATTGGCCTTTGACCTCCAATCGTCTGTACATCCACACTGTTCTCCACCAAGGGAAACAATCTTCATGGTGGAGACTTGGGGCTCCACACACTGAAGAGACAGGGTCTTGTTATGTTGCCCAAGACTGACACCACATCTGGGACTGAAGCAACTGTCCTGCTTCGGTCTCCTAAGTAGTTAGATTTCCAAGAATGCATCGCTGAACCTAGCTAAGACGGTAGCCTTGAAGGTTAGAAGGGTTTTAAACAGGAAAAGTGAGCATTACCCCCAGCTCACAGGAGGGCTCCTGAGGGCCAGATATTGGCAAATTTGCAACTTGAAAACGGACACCTTAAGCTGCCAGGTTCTTGCCACCCATAGCTCCCTGAGGGCAACTCTTACCTCTGCCACTGAATCCAGTCTGCACAAACCCTTAGGAAAAGTTCAGCACTTCCCCAACAAGTAGGACCTGCCTCTCCTCCCAGGCCTTCTGAAGGCAATGAGATATGTGCTTCTGACCCAGTCAGACTGTGCCATTCCTCACACACCAACCCAAAGACACATGATCAAATAAACAGGTGATCAAAAAAGGGTTCTGCATCCATGGTGGCGTACCAATGGACAGATGGACACTTATAGCCTGAGGTGTCTACTCACAGTCACCCAGCCTTCAGGGCCCAAGTAAGCTTGATATTGGTAGGTCTTTGCCTAGCGTGTGGGAGACCCAGCCATGGGTGTGGATGGGTGTGGGTAGGTGGCCCTTCTGATGGGGCAAAAAATGTCTACAACATGAAGGCAAAAATATGAAGTAAGGGCGAGGTGTAGACAGTAGACAGTCTGCAATGTCTTGTGTCCCTGAGCAACAAACACCCTGAGGGTAAAGGGACTCTGTGGGGGTGGGGGCGCATCATACTTTGGCAATGATGTCCCATGGGCTAGCGGCCCCTTTCCCAAAGATTCTTCCAGAATTGGCCTGATTTCAAACTCTTATCAAATCTGACCCTAGGGATGATCCTCAGAAAGCAGGGACAGCAAACTGCCATTCAGACGCTGTCACCAAGCTCCCATTTCCTCAACAAAACGTTTACAAATGGTAAGGACACCCGCTGACCAGGTTAAGTGAGGGAGGGAATTAGAAAATAAATGCTGCTGTTGTCACCTGGACTATGTAATGTGGTAGAAAAGCATATGCCTGGCCTGGGTGCCCATTAGTTATCTTAGGCCAACCCCAAATCACTCCTCTTCCAGAAGCCAAAGGATAAAACTAAGGCAAATGCCCTGAGGCAAAGGTGTTGAGAACCACACTGTCAGCTTCAGCACGCTCATCCTGCAAGGGAAGAAGCTGCCCCTGGAGTTGGCAGGGAGCCACAGCATTTCACTGACCTCGAAAGGGAAGTATATGAGGAAGGTTTTTTACAAGGAAACCTGAGAGGGGTCAAGACCCAGGACCGAAGCCATGCAAGAAAAGCAGAACAGAGGACTAGGACCAACTTGTACTGCCTCAGAGCCTGGTAGCCAGACTCAATCATCCAAACAGTGTCTGTCTGTCTGTCTGCCTGCCTGCCTGTCCGTCTGCCTGCCTGCCTGTCCGTCTTTGAGACAAGCGTGTCGAACGTGAAGGAAAATGACATCATTCTGTAAAGAAGGAAAAGCTAGCCCTGTTCTCAGTTGTCCAAATGTGGGCTATTGTTACGATGCCTACCAAATCACAGGGATATCGGAGAACGCCACGCTAAGAGCATCCACCACAGCTTCTAGAAACAGCCGTAAGGATGATGGAGACATCTACTCAGTTCCTAACCATAGGGATTCCGCAAAGATAAGTCCTGGGAACTGAAGACCCAAGGAGACACAGCAAAGAGCGGTCCCGATGCTGTTAGCAGCTCCAGGAGAACAAACCCCACACTAAGCAGAAAGCCGGTCTTTGAGGGAAGAAAAGGGAGAAGCTGCTACTCCACTGGGCTTGTTCACAGCCACCAGGCCTGCTCCCAACCGCGACACAGGTGGAAGGCACCTAAGTCACACAACCTGCGACTTCCTTAGCATGTATCCCAGCCCGGCACCACACAGGTTTGGAGGACCAGAACCGGAAATCCCCCCGTTTCAACGCATGCTCACAGCCCTGCTTCCTCTTCTCTCAGGTACAATCATTTCTTTGGCAAGGCCTTCCTCTCTCTGAACGCTGGGTGGACACAAGAACCAGATTACACCTGCCGCTCAATGGCAGGTGGTTGTCCCACGGTGGACACTGCACCTGTAACACTACATCTTCCCAGAAAGATGGCCACAATCAAACACGGACAGGAAAAGTCCGTGCCTACAGCTGGAGCCAGCTGCAGCCTCCCCCAAAGCCTCGGTGCAGCTGCGGTGTGCATACGTGTACACTGTGGCTTAGGAACGGGGGGGGGGGGGGGAGGGGTACACAACAGACTATCTACTCCTCAAGAATGAAGCGTCATCACTAGGTTGGTTGGGACTACCGAGAGGGCTCGCAAGCTCTTGTCTCCGATCTGAACGGTCAGGGTACAGGGACAAGAGTAATCACTTCTATTCTCATTTCACGGGACCAAGGGGAAAGATGAGATACTACACCAAGACCCTGGCTGGTATCAGCAGCTCCACTTCCCTGTCGGGGCCTAGGGGGTGGCAGGGTCAAGCCAAAGGACAAACGGGCTCATAAAGAGCTTGTGGAAACCAACGTCATCTCTCAAGTGCTTCCAGGGCAGGGTTCCTATCAGTTTCAGAGAAGTCTGTCACCTGTACCATGCACACCACTCTAACCCCTCTGGGCATCCAGGCAGCAAATATGAGGAGCATGCAGACTGACTCCCACACCACTGGGGACTGACTGCTACTGTCACATAGGGGCCATGGTGCACATACGACACAGGGACTCAGAGGAAGCCGACAGTGGAGAAAATACGTGAGAAAGCTTTAGATGAAGCTCAGTATTCAAGTTCAAGAAACGAATACCAAACAAGGCAGCACTAGCCTCTCTGGCTGGTCTGGGGGTCCAGCTCACAGTGCAGGGCCCAGCACAAGGGCTGTCTATGCACTGAGACAGAGGTGGCCTCGGTCAGTGCCCATCAACAGACCACTAAGCACCTGAAGAACTGAATCACGCTACTGCCTCCATACACCCAAAGGTTATTACTAAGGGTTCCATTTACCGCAAGGGCATCACAAGACGCACGAGTCCGATGAAGAAATCCCCACAGTTCCACACCCTAAGGTCCAGCACCCACTCCCATATGTTACCCTGACACATATGACCTAAAGGCCACTCATTCCAGGAACTGGAGGAAAGAACAGAGTCCCAAAGGTACATGTAGGCGCTTTGTCTGACCTCAGACCTGGCATCAGTGAGTATGCCTCCCAAACAGCTATTCCTGAGATGAATATGCTTAGACTCAAACCTGGTGTCGCCGTGGCCTGAACCCAAGGGGGTAGATGGAGCCATTCAACAGGTGTTGATTTCTGCCTTTGTTTCTAAAACGCAAACCAAGGAGTGTCTCTGGCACCCTTCCCACCCAACCTGACTGCTTCCCGACTGCCTCCTCTCTCCTCCCTCCCTGTACTCTCGGTTCACACTGAGGTTTACACAGGTAGGCAGTACCAGGTCTGCCAAGCCCTCTGGACCCCATAGGCCAACCTGTCCCCAGTAGCTAGCACAAGAAGACTTAGGACACAAGACATTCATTGCATACCACAGGAGACACCAAGTCACAGGAAGAGCAGAAGATACACCAAATCAGTCACAGAACATCAGTACTGGTACATGGACAGTGGAACTCAGGGTTGACAAAGGGACTCCAGGACAGCTCTGGCTGAGGAGAAGAGGCAGTGGACAGATTTGGCTAAGTGACTCTGCAGTGTCACCCTAAAGGTGAGGAAGACCAGAGGGTGGGGACAAGTCCTCCCTCTCCTACATAGCCAGAGCTGACACAACCCCCCACCCCAGTGAACATGGAGAAAAGATCCTACAGGGCAGGAGACCCTCTGAAGTGGCTGGCCCTGCTCCCATCCCTTCCATCTTCAAAGTGCATTCGCAGTGCAAGGAGGAGGTCTGGATCCCAGGGGGCCTCACCGAGACAGGGCTGTGCCAGCCAGCTCCCTCCATCTCCTCCGGCTTCCCCCTTGCCCACCCTGACCCTTTTTACACTAAGACCAGAACTCCTGCTGGATCTCAAAAGGGGAAGGCCCGTGTGCGTTCAGTTCGGCTCTGCACAGAGGCACAGTGCTATCCTGGCTCTGCCCCTCTGCGTCCAGATCCAGAAGCGTCCGCTCAGCAGGGGGCAGCGGCCCCGCCTGTAAAGGGAGCAGGGCTGGCAGTCCAGGCCGCTCTTCTACAGTGCTGCTGCTGCTGGCGAAGCAGGAGTCCAGGTTGCTGGGAGTCTCTGTGCTGGAGCTGTTGGCTGGGGAGGCGCTGCGGGCATGGCTGGGGGACACAAACCACCAAGGGTCCAGCCGTTGCCGGTTGGCAGAAGGACGTGGCCGAGGCAGGAACTCCAGGGTCTTGGGTCTCTCTAAAGTGGAGTCCCGTTGTGTGTTCCAGCGCCTTGGAGTTGGAGGAAAGACCACATTGGGGTCAGGGAGACGGGGAAATTCACCTGGGTCTCGGCTGGGACTGGGAGTTTTCAACATTCCTGGTCAGGGAGACAATGGGAAAGACATCAGATGATGGCATCATATTTCCAGGTGAGAAATGCACCTTCCCCGTGCTGTCATATGTCTAGACACTGGGACAAAAGAATTAAATGCTTAAAGAACACCTACTGTGTGCCATGCAGTGTGCTGTGAGGTGCTAGGAACATGGTAGTGAACTAGAAACCAAGAGGCCTTGAGTCAAGTAATAGTGACATGGGGGTGTCACATGCATAATGAAGTAATTTAAGGCAGATGTTGGGAAAGTACTCTTAAGATGGTCACTTATACTTGTAAATAAGGCTGTTGGATTTTTTGTTTGTTTGTTTTTGTTTTTTCGAGACAGGGTTTCTCTGTGGTTTTGGAGGCTGTCCTGGAACTAGCTCTTGTAGACCAAGCTGGTCTCGAACTCACAGAGATCCACCTGCCTCTGCCTCCTGAGGGCTGGGATTAAAGGCATGCACCACCAATGCCCAGTGTAAATAAAGTTTTATTGGGACATATTTTATATACACTCTGTAGCTGCTTTTCATTTACAGGTGAGTAGTTAAAAAAAAGATTATACAACCCATAAAACCCAAAGAGGTTACACACCTGAGTATAAGAAACAAACCTACACGGGAAGAGTCAGACAAATGGTGGCATACGCCCGGCACGTACACTTAAAATCTCGCCAGAAGCGTGCGACCACTTTTGCCAGGGGATGTTTCTTAGCCAGACTTGGGTCTTTTAGGGAGGAAGGAATGGGGGCAGTGAAGTGTTAGGTGTCTCTGGGGTCAGATGGAGGGCAAGCTGACGCGTGTGGTCAGCCACTCACTGAGCATGACTCCAGGTGACTCGAGGATCAGTGATGGAGAACATGGCAGATGGGTGGCAGCTGACCTGCCGTGTGTGTCTGAACTAATGCTACAACGGCAGGGGCGCAAGTGTGCGGCAGAAGACACCCTTCCTAGGTGTGGTGAAGATTCCTGTCTCATAGCTGCAGATTCTCCAGAGGACAAAGCTCGCCTGCTGCCCCTGGATGCTCCCCCACTGCCCTGCCCCAGAGCAGGGTCTCAGCGCGCCACTGGCCTATGTCTGGCTCTTCCTACAACCAGCCTGTCTCCTTTCAAAGTCAGGAGAAGATGCCCATGGTACGGGACAGAGAAGTCAGCCAGCTCTGGACACCCTGCCAATCCCAGATCATATTTCTTGCATGGTTGAGCAAGAGAAGAAATTCAAATTTCTTTGGACTCATCCAAATCCAGAAGTAGAAAGAACCACCTACAAACTTCTTTACTCCCTGGGGGCCACAAAAGCAAACAGAAAAGAGGAAGTGGCCAGAACTCACCTGTCCCAGGACTGGGGCTCATCCCATTGCTGGAGGGGCTCCGGCTTGACAGTGCTGGAGGGGCCCCTGTGGGCTTAAGTGCCCCATCAGAAGGAGTCCGCCTGTGGCTACTGGGCTGCGTGGGGGCTGTGAGGGTGACATGGGTGGGAGTCAGGGACTGATTGGGGTCTCGCTTGAAGCTTTCCACTCGGACATTAACCAGAGGGTTGTGGGTGCACGAGGTGAGGGGTGGAGCTTCAACTGGGCTGACGGGCATTTCGTACACTACGATCTCATCACTGTCAGAGCGCAGCAGCGAGCGGGTAGAGTTGCATTCGGAGATGGAGGAGAGAGAGAGCAGTGTCAGGGAGGCAGAGGGGTCTCCTAGCAACATCGTCGGCTCCTCCTTCTTGAAGAGCTTTCGGGAGGGGGGGCTGGTACTCCGACGAGGGCGGCTGGCCCTCTGGAAAAGACCCTCACGCCTCTTCTTCTCTTCCCGGGCTGGTGGCTCAGGCTCCTCTGGCGGAAGCAATTGGCACTTACCAGCTTCCAGCAAGTCAAACCCTAGACCTGTGGCGGCCAGGACAGCTCCACAGCCAAGCAGAGCCGCTTCGCAGCGCCGGTGGTGGGTCCCACTACGCTTGAGGCTGTTGGTTGGCGTCAGCTGAGGGGTACTGGTGGCTGAGTTGACTGGGGTGGGCTCCTCATGAACTCCATCACTGGAGGGGCCATCCCCATCCTCTCCACGAGGAAATGGGATACAGAGGTAGGACTGGTTGGGCGAATGCTGTAGATGACTCTCTCCACTTCCTGGGCCTTCACCATCTTCATCCTCTGTGAAAACAAGGCAAACAGCAGAGAAATACAGAATGAAGCATCTGGTCCTTCTCCCAGACCTGGGCTTCCCTGATCCCGTGTCAGAGACAGAGGACATGAAACTGGGCATGGAGTCAAGGAGGCCTGTTTTCTGCCATACTCAACTGAGACCAACATGGGAAACTCATCTACATTCCAGAGTCCGTTTCTCTACTTGCAGAAAGGGGGCGGGTCTGCTATTTTGCTGCCTCCTTAATGAGGACTCTTTTGAGTATGCGTATAATGCCAGAGACAACCTCACACACACTAGGCAAGTACACTATACCTTTAGCACCATAGGTACTCTTACAAGAACATGCAGTATGCATTCTTAAAACACTAGATAAAAGAAACATTTCTAATATTTTTGAACCTTATTTTAAGGAAGGGCTTTGGTTTCCCAGCACAATGCTTAGCACCATGGTCTGCACAAGAAATGAGAATCCTCTACATGGGGTGAAGGGCAATCTGTTCCACTGATGGGCCTATTACAACTCAGACATCTACAGAGAAAAGAATACTGGGGATGCTTCTAGAGAACTCAGCCACCATTCATAGCCAGAGAGTAACACTGGAAAGGCTTGGGAAGGGGAAATGTCTGGTTCAAGTCTTCAACATTGCACAGTGTCCTGGGGTGATCACTGCTGGATTCTTGGGGCAGGAAGCCAAAGATAGAGTCCATGGCTATAATACAAGGAAACTGGTTTAGGAAGACCTAACAAAATGGAAGGGACAGAGTAGGGGATCAGAGGTTGGGAACAAAAAGGAGACAAACCCTACTAGGAATCCTTAAACAATCCTGGAAGTCTGGCCAAGAATTCTCCAAGGAAACAGTAAGAAAATCAAGACTTACCTATCTCCATAAGGCTGGTAAACCCAGGCAGGGCAGGACTACTCCTGGGGCCCTTTCCCAGGTTGGGGGCACTGGATGACCATTGTTTGTATCCATCTACCAGGGACTTGAGGCTGAAGGAATGGGGGAGGAGACTTGTTACCATTGGCTATTTCTCTTGGTCTAGCCTCCATGGGCATCTGGAAAACATCTGTCTACTTAATCACACTGAAAAGCATTAGGGACCAGACAACTTGTCCCAAGTCCACCTACTTCACAAACAAGTGCACATGCTCTAGGAGATGAAAAGCGATGGTGTAACCCAGCCCTTCCCATGCCGTGGAGCCATGGACAGATCAAGTAAGCAGGCCGGCAAGCAGACAGTAAGGACTCAGCTTGTGGGAGGTCTTGTCTGAGGCATTCTCAATGGAAGGGCAATTCGCCCATAGGATCTGAACACAACACACTCAGAACATTACGAGTATTTCAGTGCAAACACCTGCAGAGCAAGGCAAGCATGGGGCAGGTGAGCCGGCAGAAATGGCCCGGGCCACTCCACTCATAATGCTCCTCAGGTTCTCCTTCCACACCTCTATCTCGCATGCTTAAGCTTCCAAAGCCATTCACTCTTCAAAAGGAGAAAAACAAAATCAAGCAACAAAGCTGCACCAGCCCAGCTCTGGGGCCAGACCTATATGAGGAAGACACTATGTGGTATTCAAGCCCTCCATTTGTCTAGGCAGGAAGACAAAGGACAGCAGCTCGATTTCCAATCAGTTCATTGGGCAATCTAGAGACAGAATGGATCCCCCATCCCTTACAAAGGGGAATCTGAGGTCTGGAAGCACTGGTCTTTGCCCTAGAGGGCAATAAAAGGGGGCATTAATGAATCTGCATGCTGTGGTGGTATTGAAAGTCTAGCATATCAATCAGAGGAGAATCTACATGTTCACTTAAAGCCTGTTCCCTCGCAGCCCCAAGCCACCAGAGGGAGGGAGAAGGCTCAATTTTCTTCTTGGCCTCAGAACTCTTAAATTCTGTCAGAACACTGGAGAATTAAGGCACATGCCAGACTCTGCTGGTTTCAAATAGAACACAGCTGCAGGGAAGCAGGCTGCTAAACCCATAGCCTGGGATCCTGACTGCAACACTGTAGCATTCCCTCTAGTCCGAGGGGCTCAAGAAAGCCCAGATTAGCAAATAAAAGCCAGTGCTCAGGGATATATAGCCAAGTGGCCTTCTCTAGAAACGTGGGCAAGGAGCATCCCAGCAACTGGGGTGGGTCAACAGAGGGATTTTCCCAAGGTGCACAAAGGTACTGCTCTTAAAAACATCGTTATCCTCTGTAGCGATGAGGCATGAAACCAAGGAAATGGAAGGGCAGTTGCTACTGGTGCAGCTTGTGGATGGGTGGAGACCAGACTCACCCCAAGTGGAAGTGTGGAGACTCGGACGGGGTGCTTAAGCCATTAGATTTCTCCCGTCTCTGAGGGGATCTTCAATGAATAACGAGAATCAGCAACAGGCAGTAGAGACCACCGTCAGCTCACCCTCTCCCGAATTCAGACTGCCCAGGCTGGTCCAGTCAGTGAACCCACCCCAGGACAAGACCGACATATCAGAGCTGTTTCAGGTCTAGGCCTTTCCAGCGTACGGGACAAAGGTCTCCGGATAGCCAGAGGGCAACCATAAGGCTATGAATCAAAAACTACCCAAGCTGCCTACAGCGAACTATTGTTTCCTACAGATACGTACTGTTGGATAAAAAGGGGAGATGGGAATTCACTTTACTGAATTCAAGGTTTTTGTCATTATAAATTTTCTTCAGTCAATAGGCACTAAAATTAGAAATACTATCATGGAGAGATCTCTAACATTTCTGATATCAAAGAGATCTGGACTCAAGTTTGTTAGAATACACTTTCATTTCTTCAAAAAGAACTGAAAATAGTGAAAACTCAAGGCACATGCTTCATAATTGTCTCAAAAGTCTGCAAAGACAAATCTATGTAAGCAGGAAGGAAAGTGCAAAGTCAGCACTGTGAAACGTAAGAGGAAGTAATCTGCTATAAAACAACAGACAACGAGCAAAACAATCTGAGGAGAGGAAGGGACCTGCAAGAAAGGGTCAAGGGGGCTGGGGAAGGTGGTGAGGAAGTAGGAACTATAATGACCTATATGTATGAAAATGCTACCGTGAAACCCATTACTCTGTGCGGTCACTGAAAAATTAGTTGGAAAAATTTAACTACCAGAATCCATAGCTAGCCTGGTTAACCTCAGAATTAGACTAATGTCAGAAACAGCAAATGATTCAGCGTAACTGAGTTTCTCTGAGCCAGGCCTTGAAGGACAGACTTTAAGGTTCTCACCCTCCTCCTGAGTTCTATAGATTTGCTGACCTGATCTCCGAGGCCCTAAGTTCTGCATTCACATACAGCACAGGCGTGTTCCACAAGTGTACATTTTCTATTCAAATGAACTTTGTGGTTTCAAAGCCTCACTTGACAGAGTTAGTTCTTTATAAATCAAATTGCTACTTTTTCCCCCCTTGAGCTCAGACACAAGAAGAGTTAGAACGTGAAATGTTAGTATTCAAAAGATTACCAAAGCCAGCTTGACAGGTTTGGAGGTCCCATTCAGTGACTAATGGGAAGTCACTGAAAACTGATAGGACTACTATCCTCACACTTAGAATAGCCAGGGGTATCCTAGAAGAAATACAAACCATGATGCCCACACTTTGGGTATTAAGTAGGTGGCATGAAAGGCAGCTGGTAACTATGTGTGTTCACCACGAGTCAGCTAACAGCTGCACTTCACAAAGAACTCTGACAGCCACTCCACAAGCTGGGGGCTAGTCTTATGCCCATCCTGTAGGTGAGAAAACATGAGCTCCCACATTTATATATGGAGCTGAGTCTCATGGGCAGAAGTCTCCCTGGCCTGTGAAAAACTGACACGGAGAATTTGCTTCCCAGGCCTCAAGCCTACAAGTGAGGACGGCACATTTAAGGGGAAGTATGAAAGAGGGCCAGCAACCCCCTATTCCAGTGCTCTACCAGGTACGGTGGAGAGATGGTGCCTGACTCTGTCTAACAGGCCAACAGGGGAAAGCCCTGCTCACCCTCATCTCCTCCCTTTCCTCTGAACAGATGCTTTCTAGGGAAGATCCAGGTGTAAGTAGACCACTTAGCCCAACTTCCTACATGTCCTTCCTATCTGGGCTATTTGCTGCTTTGAAAGACCACCTGCAGGGGGCAGCAGACAGCAGACTGAATCCAACAACCCTGCCTGTCACTTGTAAGGTTTGACTGGAAGATAGCCACACAGACTCATTCATTAATGTATTACTCAAAGTCTAGGGCAGCTTTTATGTGTCTCTGTCACCATGCTGACCCATAAGCCTAAAATGTTATCTGGCCTTTTATGGAAAGAGCTTGACAATTCCTGCCCTACGAATGAACCCAGGATCTAGGCGATGGGAAAACTAGAAAGGTCAGGAAGAGCTTCGTGGTGGCATTGTAATTCCAGCACTCAGGGAGTGGAAGCAAGAGGATGGAGAGCCTGAAGACAGCTTGGGTTAGTCCATCTTTTAAAAAAAAAGTAAAACAAGCCCCTTACGCTTTCCCAGAGTGTATTAAAACACACAAGAGAGAAACGAAAGTGACTCCTATCACATTTTAAAATGTTGTGCACCTTTAAATGTGAGAGAATTTCACATCAGCTAGCTCTTACCCTTCATCTCCTGAGGTGAGCTCTTTCTGCCCAAGAGTCCCTGGTCCCCACGTCCGGCCCTTCTTCTTCGGGGCCCTCTTCTCCTCCTCCTCCCCTTCCTCTTTTGGAACAACTGAGCTCCGGGCCCAGGGTTTATTACTGTCACCCGGTGTTACTGCAAACAGCAAAGGTTGTGTAAGAAAAGTCTCTCCAAAACTGGCAGACAGGCCCCTCCACTTCCCCCATAACACATGTATTTCAGGCAAACACTGAAGTAAAAATAACGCCAGTCTGGACTTGGCACATGCTAAAGCTGTGATGGGCTTTCATGGGACGAAGGCTTTGGAACACCTCAGCTTCGGAAATACAGGCAGAAGAAAGGCAATGACACCCAGCAGGGCAGACAGGGTGGAGGTCCTCAAGGTGGGCGCCGATCTATGGACATCATTCCAGCCCAAACTGCTTTGCAACTCACTGACGAGCTGCCTCTGCCCACAAGCCCCTGTGCCGACCTCTGACTGGAAGTGGGAGAGACAGCACCGAAGCTAACAAGGGACAAGGAGCAGGAAGGCTGAGGTCTGCCAATGCACGCGCAGGGATGCACACACGGTTGAGGAGGTGGCAGAAGGGACAGCTGGAACAGGCCTGAATTAGGAGAGGGCAACAAGCGTCCCTGGTGTGTTCTGAAAACCTGTCTCACACTGGATGGCTCGAAGGCGCGGGATGATGGTGGGGCTTGCAGGAGGGCTCGATCGGCTGCTGAGGAGGCTCTTCCTTTTATCCATGGTGGGGGAGGCCTGCACCGTGAACTTGTGCTGGAAATCTGCTTGGGGAGAGACAAGTGTAAGCATTAGAACTGTCACACGGTCAAATGCATGCAAGAAATCTGACGACTCCTGAGGGACAGGCCTTAGACAAGATGGACACACATCTTTACGAAGATGGCAGCCCTCATAAAGCTCTCTCTGTAATGGATATTGGTGGAGTTGCTTCTCAGTGTGTGTTGCCTTGTAGACTGTTCTAGAAAATGTTACTTGAGCATTATGCTTCAGATAATCTGTCACTATCAGTGTCCTTTTTGATGCTGTTCCCAAAGTACAGACAGAATGCAAGTATAAAGACCCAGCCCATGGTATGGCCGGAGAGATGGCTCAGTGGTTAAGACCATCCCATGGTGGGAATGCTGGGATTCAACAGAAATGAGGAAATGACCCCGGCTCTCACACACCTCAAAGGTAGTTTTGATACAGTGTGAAAACACAAAACTTTCAGTTCTTAAGTTCTGGATTTCGGCCTCCTCATCTAACACAGAGGCACTGGGGTCTCCCCACTAGACTAAACTCTCCCTGCAGATGGGAACAGCAGCTTCCTATCTGCATTGCTAGTGGATAGCAGCATCCTAGCACAGCCCAGGGGCTCCAGAGGTAACTAAATACTTGCAAAAACAAAACAACAACAACATATCATATGTGACAAGGGTAGCAGTGTACACTCCCATCAGCACAGTCTCTCAATTTGATGACTTAATTCCCTGGTCCCTGCTTAAGCCACCATTCCAAAGCTTAAACATCACCCATAGCCCTCTGACTATGCTATTTTTCTTTGTTTTCAGATAGATAGATAGATAGATAGATAGATAGATAGATAGATAGATAGATATTTATATTGATATCGACACAGGGTTTCTCTGTAGCTTTGGAGGCTATCCTGGAACTCACTCTGTAGACAGACTGGCCTCGAATTCACAGAGATCCGCCTGCTTCTGCCTCCAGAGTGCTGGGATTAAAATGCTTCCTTACACTTCTAATAAACTTGCTACCCAAGGCCTTACAGACTCAGAACACCAAGAATGTTTTTAATCTACAGAAAGACTCACCTGCCCCCTTGGGTACACTATACTCCATCAAGATTCTGATTCACACTTTCCTATTTCTTTGCATTTTCCCCCAGGTAACAAGTACCAAAACTGTACCTTTATGGAGCAGTTCTGAGAAGCTATATATAAATGTTATATATAAACTTTTACATTTTAGCCTAATGTTAAATGCACCAAGGGCTAATTATTTAAAGAAAATTGAGATGAACGACTTTGCAGTGTTAAGATTTCTCTCATGTGAACACCTCAGAATCCCCTCACCCTGGGGATCCCCATCCTTCCCCCGTCTTTGCCTACAGTGAGGTATGCTTTTGTGGGCCTAGTGGGCTTGTCATCACGATCTCCTCTGCTGTCACTCACAATGAACAGTTCCCCAGAAAACCTGTAATCCACTGCACAAGATGGCCCTTCCAACAGGCTTCACTTTCGGAGTCACGGTCTGTGCTTCTAAGCACAGCCTGACTCCCACAAAGCCCTGCTACACCAGACCCCATGCCACCCCAGCCCACCCAGCCTGACTCCCACAAAGCCCTGCTACACCAGACCCCATGCCACCCCAGCCCACCCAGCCTGACTCCCGCAAAGCCCTGCCACCCCAGCCCACCCAGCCTGACTCCCGCAAAGCCCTGCCACCCCAGCCCACCCAGCCTGACTCCCGCAAAGCCCTGCCACACTAGACCCCATGCCACCCCAGCCAACCCAGCCTGATTCCCGCAAAGCCCTGCCACCCCAGCCCACCCAGCCTGACTCCCGCAAAGCCCTGCCACACCAGGCCCCCCACCACAGCCCTCGCTCTCTTTCTGCCACCGACCGGAGGGGAGGCTGATGCGGTTGCCATCCTTGAGCTTCAGGCGGCTCTTCCTGAACTTGCCCTTGCGTTTCTTCACCCTGGGCTTTTCCTGGCACAGCTGGTGGATGATGATGTTGAGCTCTCGTTCTAGGATGTCAATCTCCCGCTCCGCCAGTTCCTGCTCCCTACGGCGCAGCAGCTCCTCCTGGTTCTTCTGCTGGAGCGCAGCCCGTGTCAGCTCCTCCTCCCAGGTGCGGAGCTCCTGTAGACAGGGGGAGCCAGCAGAGAGAAGAGGGGATTTCAGTCCAGAAAGCACCTGGGGTGAGGCGGCCTGGTGAGCTCTCCCACGTGCCTAGGAGGGAGAGCACACTCAGAAGCTGGCTGGTAAGAAGCTGGCTGGGTAAGGGAAGTGCAACACAGCCATACGGTGAATACAGCTAGAGAGGCTAATGCCTAGAGCAAGCCCGGAGATGGGGGCTGACCCTTCCTCGATCAGCAGTGCCTCCTTATCCGTGAGGAGTGTGTCTTGGACCACAGGGAATGTTGGGAACCCCGGATTCTTCTCAACTCTGTAGGTTCTATGTTGTCTTCCTCTAAAATACCTCCATCGTAAAATTTAACCTATAAATTGGGCATCATACGAGATTAACAACTAGTAAGATAATATGATAACAACATATTATACTAAAATCACCAGCATTATTACTATTGTCCTTTGGAACCATTATTAAATAAAATCAGGGTTGCCTGAACTCAGAATTGCCGGATCACAACAGCCGACAAGAAACCCAAAATCAATATACTATCGAGCTTGGGCAGTGTGCACAGAGTCAGGAGGATGACCGTTCCCAGGAAGGGCAGAGCAAGACTGGTCATGATACCTAGAATAGCATGCAATTTAAAACATGAAACTGTTTACTTCTGGAATGCTCCACTTAATGTTTATGGACGGTGGTTAACAGTGGTTAAATCAAGCCACAGAAAGCAAACCCATGGATGCAGGGTGGGGTGGATTACTGTAACTACTTATTGACAAGATCCAATTTTCATTTTTCCTACTGGCTTGTGTAATTTATAAATGATATTATGATTTTATCAATCCAAAGCAAAGAGAGGTGGCCATGAGTTGGTGATTTAGCAATCTTAACAAAAGCCAGCCCCTGTGGAGGTTCTCCTGGCTGAGACAAGTAGTAGTGATAGGAGCTCCATCAGCGGCTCACCCAGAGGGACCCGTAAAGATTTGCCATTAGCTCCCTCCAGCCACCAGTACACATTAATGACCTGCCAAGCTGTGCCTTGAAGGAGACTAATATTTTCAAATCATTTGTGTAGGGGGATAACAATGGTATTGCAAAGAACACAGGGTTTAGAGTCAGATGGCCCAGGTTCAAGGACCTAGATCCTCACCTACTAGTTCTACAAAGGTGGAGGCCACTGGCCCTCAGCTGTGAGATATAAACAATTACATCTGCCCCCCCCACACACACATACTATTATACCAACAGGGCAAAGAGGTCTCATGAAACTTCTCAAGTGAAAACAAAGTGAGAAACAAAATCAGATTCTATTATTATCACATTATTCATTTAACCCCCTGAGACAGGGTTTTATACTGTAGCCCAGGCTAGCCTTGAAACCACTTTATAGACCTTGCTGGCCCAGAACTTACGATATCCTTCAGTTTGGTCTCAAACTTACAACCCTCCCTCCTCAGCCTCTTGAGGGCTGAGATTACAGGCAAGTACCAACATGGCTGGCTATCACACTACTAGTAACTCCCCCAAATTTCCATAGTACAGTGAGAAGAAAAAGAAAGGAAATTAACCAAGACTACATAACCACCTTTCAGGCCTCTGGGTTTAGCCCTGCCCAGATAGCACAGGGCATACAACTGCACACAATCAGTTTTCACTTGTGTGGACCCTGACTGCTAGGGTCATACCACAGAAAAAGAGAGGGGACACTGGAAAAATGACCACCACACCCAGAAGCAGACTCCAGCAAGCCAAGAGTGCCAAAGTACCCCAGATGATTTCCTCTTCAGACCTTTTCCATAAAAACATAAAAGTACCAGTTTCAGGCTCCTCTCCTGTTTCTGACCAACTCTGAAAGACAACAGGAAGATGTTCTGCTAGCAGCTCACAGTGCTAACACCCCCCTCTATGAAATGGTCCTCTCCCTAGAAGTCCCCTGTGGAACCTGGACACCCTTCCAGAAGTGTCCCGTTTGAGGTAGCAGCAGGAGCCACTTGCTGGGAGCTGCCCACAGCTGCTTCTGTGCTGGGGACAATCAAGCAGACCCCAGGGAGGAAGGTGTTGGTGTCAGAGCTTGGGCACACCAGTCCAGAGCCCCCGTGAAACATCTCCGACAAGACAAAGCATGCCTTTTCCTCTTCTCTACCTTTTCTTTGGCCCTGAGTTGATCAAACATTTCCTGAATCTCATGTTTCCAGTCATCCTGCAGGCAGTGGAAGGAGTCCTTGGGCATCTCAAAGAAACCAGATTCTTCTATGGTCGTGAGTTGGTCCAGGATACTCGTAAAAGATGGACGTGAGTGGGGGTCAGGATTCCAGCAGTCTGAACGGAAGAGGGGAAACTGGAAGTCAAACCGCACTGTCCTGTACGCTCTGCTGAGTCCATGCAAGGACAGCAAGAACAAAGCTTCTGGTGCCTGACCTGCTTCCAGTTTATACTTCCAAGTACACCAGCAGTGACTATGCCCCAATCACCCCCCCCACCACACACACACACAAGCTGCCGTTCCCAAGAGAAGCATCAAGGTGAGTCAGGAAGAGTAAATTCTACCCAGTAGTTGCCTGGCCACCAACACAGTGGGCCCTTTCCACCAACACAGTGGGCACTTTCCCTCTTCACTTTGCTTAGCTTTGCATTTCTCAGAAACTTATGTTTCCAACTCAGTGACTTTAGAGTCCCTTTCTTCCCAGATGACCTTCAGTTCTACACACAAGATACTCAAGTCTGGGAATAGATGCCACGGGAGCTTATTTTGTATTACATAATAAGACACTGGAATGCAAGATAGCAGGTTTTAGTTACTAATTTCTATAGCCACTGCAGAAATGAACCTGCTTTGGCAAGGTGTGGTCACTATCTAGAAACAGCTCTCCCAACTCTTCCCTCTGGGTGGCTAATATTTCATCTCCTCTTTCCAGCAGAACTCATGACATTAGGAAATGTCACCTGAGTGCTGTGTAAAGGTACACAGCTATCAGTTTTCCTCAGGCCAGGAGTTACTCACCTTCCATGAGTTTGGCAAAAGGTTCTGGACATGTAGAAGGAATAGGAAGGGCGAGTTTGTTCATGGCCACTCCATAAGCCACTGCTAAGCCATCAATGCCTCGGAAGGGTACCTCGCCAGTCAGCAGCTCCCAAAGCAGCACTCCATAGCTGGGGAGAGGACAAAGACGGAAACTACATAAGAAATAACATCTACCACCTCACCAAAATAGCTACCAAGGTTTTTCCAGGCACCCTACATCATCTTCAACCCGCAGGAAGACTAATGAAATAGACACACTAACATAAAGGGAAGTCACAAAGCCTACTGTCTAAAAGCAGAGACTCTGAAGCCAGGACATCTGGTTTAAAGTGTTGTTCCATCGTTCCCTACCTGTGACTCCATGGGCAAACCACTACATTGCTCTGTGCCTCTAGTCCCTCCTCTGTAGAGGGCAAATAACACTATTAATCTCACAAGTTGCCACAGAACTAAACGAGTCTTTAAGAGCTTAAATAAGTACTCAATGGCCACAGCAATTTTACTGTTTTAAAACAAGGTCTCACTATAGCTTAGCCTTGGTCGGGAGCTCCTAATCCTGTCTCAGCCTTCTGAGGGCTAGGATTACCGGCATGCACCACCATGACAGACTCTGTTATCATTAATGAATATGCCCTAGAAGAGATTCTCCTGAATAGAATGTTTTTAGACAGCTTTGTCATAGATACATTTTGGATTTCTTGCTCCTGCCAAAGATTCAAAGATTTCTTTAAATGTCCACTAGGTTAACACACATTTCTGACCCCTTCACAAAGGCCTTTGTCTAGTTCTGTGGGTAAAGTTCCATGGGGGTAGACTGGGTCATCAGGGCAGAGCAGCATACTAGCTGTGAGAACATCAGTGTCTCTCAACCTAACAAGTTCACAGAAACAATTCTTTTCTTTTTTTAAAGGCCTATCTGTCTGTCTGTCTATCTATTATGTATACAGCATTCTTCCTGCATGTGTCCTTGCAGGCCAGAAGAGGGCAACAGTTCTCATTACAGGTGGTTGTGAGTCACCATGTGGTTGCTGGGAATTGAACTCAGGACCTCTGGAAGACCAGTCCATTCTCTTAACCACTGAGCCATCTCTCCAGCCCCACATAAACAATTCTTTATCACCAATGAGTCAGGGAATGTGAAACACAAAGCATAATGGAAGAATTAGTCTATAGGTCCACAATCAAAACCAGGGAAAACCACACAGCATTCAGCCCTTCCAAGAATAGGTTAGGACAAGAAAGCATAAGGCTATGAACACTCAGAAGGAAAGCTCTACTTGCATTTGCCACACCAACCTTAGATTTATTGTAATCCTCCTCGGAGGCACGCAGAAAGGTCAGATTAATTAAATGATAATGATAATGATGGATCTGGAGGGATTTCTTAGAGGGTAAGAGAACTTGTTGCTCTAGCATAGGAACCAGATTCAGTTCCAGCACTCAGATAGTGGCTAATAACCACTTATAACTCCAGTTCCAGGGGATCTGACACCTCCTTCTTGCCTCCATGGGCACAAGGCATGCACATAGTACAGACATGTACACATACATCCAGGCAAAACATTCACACATATAAAATAAAATAAATAAATCTAATTTAAAATTTTGTAAATGTTGTTGTGAAATGCCATACTCCCTGCACATCAAAGTATCACTTTGTAAAGGCAAAATGAGGATGACAATAATTAGCAACCCAGTATGTATTTATCAGGATGCCCTGTTTGTTTAAAGGGCCTTACTAAACTTCCTATTCTGTACCAGTTTTCTGAGTGCTAGGATTAGAGGTGTGTGTCAGTACACTAGACTCTTGTTTTCCTTCATATTTTCATGCAATGCTGGAGACTGAACCTAGGGTTTTGCACATGCTAGGCAAGTTCTCTGACACTGTGTCCCTCTGCCAAACCTGTCATACTTTGCTTGTTTCTTTATTGCTTGTTTGTTTTCCAAGACAAGGTTTCTCTGTGTAGCCTTGAATTTTCCTGGAACTTGCTCTGTAGACCAGGCTGGCCTCGAACTCAGGAATCCACCTGCCTCTGTCTCCCGGAGTGCTGGCATTAGAGGCGTGTGCCACCACGGCCAGCACCTTTCATGATACTTTGATGTGCAGGGAGTATGGCATTTCACAACAACATCCTGAATCCCTGCAAGGGTGTGGGCAAGTATGAGCACAGCTTGTCGAGTGAAGAAAGTGAAGTCTTAGATGGGTTTAGTGATATATGTAAGTGCCCAGCTCCTGACACTGGAAAACAGGATAAAAGACAGAGCTTCCACACGGAAATTAGTGAGAAGTACAGAAAGGAAAAAAACAAACAAACCTAGGACAGGATACAGAGATAAGCCACAACAGACATACTCGGGCACAAAGAATAAATCCCTAGACCAGGCCAGCGTGGGAAAAACTTAACCTTTGAGCTAATTCCTGACTGCTATGTGAAAGAGGAAAGTCAGAGTTCCAAGCAAAAGAGTTCCAAGACAGGTTATCCAATACCAAGCACATAAAGATGACTGGACACAGTTTGCTAAAAAAACAAAAACAAACACTCCAGATTATCTAGCATCACTCCAAACAACATGCCAGCCTATGTGCCAGAGCATTGAGTCTGGGGGCCTACAAATGGCCCCCTGGAGTGGTCTAGCCATCCTGACTTTACTCTATGAAGACTTCTACATACTGTCACTTTCGTTATGAATCTTGACAGTAAATGGCCAATTTTAAGACTTGTCTGTCTACAGGATTTAGATTTTAGCTGGTAGCCAATGAGAACAGCAGATATTTATTAAGGCATCCTATGTTTTAACTGCTATGCATTGTTGTTGTGTGCTTGCCAGTCTATGATTCCTAAAGAGTGGGCATAATGGTAATAGTTTTTAATCCTCGAATTCTCAGGGCTCTCACTCAGGCACAATAGGTGTCTATAGACAGATTAACACCTCTCATCAAAGAACCTTCTTTTTGGAATAGATGGAGACTATTACAGACATCTGGCCAAAATGTAAAGAAAGTGACTTAGAGGCGTCCAACCATAGCACATCTCCAGTACAACCTCTACACCTAAGACTCATGAAAAATTGTGAAAAGGGAAGCAGAAAAATTCTAAGAGTCAGACGACTGGGACTCCTGCTGCTGGATAGTGTATTCTAGACATAGCAGCGAAGCTACAAGTGTGAAATCTCAACAACATGGCTGCCTAAACAAGACACACATGACAACAGCCGACATGTCAAAGAGGATGGGAAAGTCTCATGGGGCCCCACTCCTAGATGAAGAGCTACAGTCAGTTAATGTCTGCTGAACGAGGGAGAACTTGTTTTCTTCAGGGACAAGCTCCCAGACAGGTTATCCAATACCAAGTGGTCAGCTCTCAAAGCATGCATATATAAGCAACATTAAATGGACTCAGTAGGCTGTGTGTGTATAAAACAGTAATAATTTAAAAAGGACATAAATTCCAGAGTGTGTAGGAGGGACACAGGAGAGCTGAAGGGGAGAGGATGGGAAAGGTCTAACTATGGCACTCATGTATGAAATTCTCAAAGGACATATGAGCTGTCAGGCAGGTGTGGGAATGAGTGCATGCATGCTGGGTGTGCTACCATAGTCCCTGAACCATCAAGAACTATACCATAGAGGAGAGGATGCGGTTCAGTGGCAAAGCATTTGTCTAGCTTATACAAACCACGGCTTCCACCCCCAGCAGGGGACAGCGAATGAAGGAGGAACTGGACCGAGTGGGAAATAAAGAAAAAGTATACTTCTGCCAAACCTCGACTGTGACTTAACTAGACAGCAGTCACACTTGGGAGCTTTTGTCACATGACCTCAAAGAGCCCTCGGCACCCTACCCAGATTCCCAGGTTAGAGCTGTTGCCATCCTCAGTTTAAATGCCCATTTCTACACTGGTAAACAAAAACCAATGGTCCCATAGACCCCCTGTCCTCCATCCAGGCAAAGATGATTTAGTGTCTAAGCCCTAAATACAGAGGGTTTCAAAGATCTAAGTGTGCCTGGTTTGTGTACCGGCATCCCTTCTATGGTGGTTTCCCACTAGGCCTACCTAGGTAGCCTATAAAGAAGTCTCAGGCCACCTGTAAGAGGGAGGAGTCAGGGCTCTACCCTCCGCAGCATCCCAGTGAGGGGAGTTCTACCCGCCTGTGCTATTGGTTTTCTGTGATCTGTTCTTCCTAGAGGCTTAAGAGTTGAAGAGAGGGAGGATGGGGACTGAGACCTGTGCATGGCACACAGTAAAAATTCAAAACATGGCACTTGCAGGAGTAAAGGAATCACAAATCAGTTTAGAACCAGCTTTCTACAAGTTCCTAGGCATGTATGTGTCTACCCTTGCTGGGACCCCTGCCGCATCTGAGCCACAGTGGGCCCATCATTCTGGAAGAGGCTGTTCAAAGCACAGGAAAAGAGTATACAGTTGGCGGTGTGTTTCCAGTCTATGAGTGCTGCTGTGTGGTGGTGTGTTTCCAGTACATAAGCACTGCTGTGTGGTGGTGTGTTTCCAGTCTATGAGTGCAGCTGTGTGGTGGTGTGTTTCCAGTCTATGAGTGCTGCTATGTGGTGATGTGTTTCCAGTCTATGAGTGCTGCTGTGTGGTGGTGTGTTTCCAGTCTATGAGTGCTGCTGTGTGGTGGTGTGTTTCCAGTACATAATTGTTGCTGTATGAACAGCAATGGGCAGGTATTTCCTCTGGGAAGCATGAGAAATCTGTTGGAGCCATTCAGAGTCTGCTTGAGTGGAGATGGGGGAAGGCCCACATAAAGAAGTCTGTAAACTTTGCCTTCAAGAAAAATCCCACAGCGTAGGAGCTAAGAATGCTGGAAAGAAGCAGGCATACTATGTTTTCTAGTTGCAGTCATTCACCAGACATAACAAGGGCTTACATCCTAGGAGCAATTTCATTATTTTACTTACTTTTTTAATTACGGGGGAAGGGTATGTGCATTTGTGAGTGCAGGTGCCTCGGGGGTCCAGGAGAGCACTGGATTCTCTCCAGCTGGGGTTACTGGCAGCTGCAAGTTGCCCAACATGGATGCTGCCAACTAAACTTGGATCCTCTGCAAGAGCAGTATGCACTCTTTTTCGTTAGTTTTTCAAGACGGGGTTTCTCTCGGCAGTCTTGGCCAGCCTAGAACTATCTCTGTAGACCAGGTTAGCTTCAAACTCACAGAGAGGCATCTGCCTCTGCCTCCCAAGTGCTGGGACTAAAAGCATGCATCACCACCACCTGGCCAGTATGCATTCTTAACCTCTGAGCCATTTCTCCAGGCTCCCTGAGTACAATCTAAGCTAGAGTCAACTTGACACAAGCTAGAATTATCTGAAGGGAAGAAATCTCAACTGAGAAAATGCCTCCATAGATCAGGCTGTGGGTAAGCCTATAGGGCATTTCTTAATTAGTGACGTCTGCGGGTGGTGCCACCCCTGGCCAGGTGGTCCTGGATTCTGTAATGAAAGCTTGCTGAGAAAGCCATGGAGAGCAGGTCAGGAAACAGCGCACCTCCATGGCCCCTGCCCCAGCTCCTGCCTTCAGGTTCCTGCCGTGTTGGAGTTCTTGTCCTGGCTTCCTTCCACAATGAACAGTGACGAGGAAGCATGAGCTGAAGAAACCCTTTCCTCTCCAAGTTGCTTTTTGTTTCAACACAGCAATAGAAACCCCAACTAAGATACTGGTAGTCCATATGACAATACTCAAGATATTTTCCCTGAAGATATTTTCCGCTGATCTGAAGTTTACCACTAAGCTGTTCCCATCAGGGAATGAATAATTTCTTCTACTGCCTCTCACTACAGCTCCTGCAACCAGCATTCAACAGCAGTGATTTAGGACCCAATCTTAAACTTGTAACAGGGTATCGGGGTAAAAGTGGAAAGGGTCTGGTCTACTGCCCCGTGGAAGATAAGCCCCTGAGGTAGCCCTCTCCTTTCCTGACTGACACTTCTGTTACTTTAAGACCCTAATTAGTTGTCCACGCTCCCTTCCCACGTAGAACAGGCATGGCATGGAACCTGGTGAGAGCCTGCCCGTATCCTAGCAGCAGCAGAAGCAACTGAGTAAAGAACAAAGCCTTAAGCCGGGCGGTGGTGGCGCACGCCTTTAATCCCAGCACTCGGGAGGCAGAGGCAGGCGGATCTCTGTGAGTTCAAGGCTGGGCTGGACCGATAGCCTCCAAAACAATACAGAGAAACCCTGTCTCGTAAAAAACAAACAAACAAACAAACAAACAAAAAAAAGAACAAAGCCTTAGAGAAGCGAGACAGGACAATCAGCACATCACCCTGTAAAGAGAGGTAAGGGAAAGGAGAGCGTGCCAGGGGCTGTGACTGAGCGGTCCCTGTTCCCAACAGAGCTTCAGCGGGACACACAGTAGCCAAAGCTGCATTTGGCTCTTCAGAGCCAAGTGGATGAGCCAGTGCAGGCAATGAGATGGAGGGGACCACACAGACTGTCTCCACATCAAATCAAGCTTCTGGCCATGGATAAGCTTGGCTTCCTTTCCTGCAGACTATCACACAGAGGGAACTGCAGCTCAGATTAAACCACTGGGACAGGGACAGGAAGGGAACCTGGAGAACCTGGGTCTCGCAGGGCACAGCTGTCCTGCCAGCCTGGGCTGCCTGGACTACTCCTTGAAGCAGAAACACAGTTGTCTTATGTAAGCTTCCATATCGATGGGTCTCCTTGCAATGCTGGGTTAATTAATACATCAACGAGGCCTAACTAGTATCAGTCTCACCAGTGTGCGGTGAGACACTGCAAGTGTTAAGCCACAATGGGACTGCTGTTTTTAGGGATCTGCAGCAGTTGGCTATCATCATCAGGTCAAACATTTCACAGGGAGGAAAACATACTCCCAAGTAGGCACTTTACTCTATAACTGACATATGGCAAGATAAGAAAGGACATACAGAGTACAAAATAACTCTGAAAGAAATTAAATGAATCAAAATGTCTCATTTATGGATTGAAAAACACTATTTCTATGATGCCCATAGTCCCCCAAATAATTCATAGATTAAATACAAGTCCTCTGGAAATTACAGGTGTCAACTGAGGTGATGGCACCTATAATCCCAGTCCTTGGGGATACAAAAGCAGAAGGATTGGGAATTTAAGAGCATCCTTGCCTGTATAACCAATTTGAAGCCAGCCTGAGCTATACAAGACTAGTCTTTAAAATAATAATAAAAATCCCAGTAGCTTATTTTGCAAAATTAACAAAATGATGCTGAGATTTGTAAAGAATTCCAGTGGATTCAGAATGACCAAAACAATTTGAAAAGGCAAAATTGGAGGAATCCTATATCCTAACTTCAAAACTTACTACAAAGCTGCATATTAATCAAGAAAGGGTGATTCTGGTTTATGTGCAGACATTGACACATTAACAGAGAACTGTGAACCCAGGAACAAGCCCTCACATTTCTCATGAGGAGCTTCTGGCAGAGATGGCTAGAGTGTTTCAATGGGAAGGGAATAATAGTATCTTCAATGTGTGGTCCTGGCATAGGTGAATAGATATGACAATATAAAGTTTGACTTCTGACTCACACCACAGGAAAATCAAGTCCACATGGGTCAGAAACCCAAGGGTAAGAACCAAGATTATAAAATTCTTAGAAGAAAACAGAGCTAAGAATCTTCACAGCCTTGGCTCTGAGGTGATACCTTCTTAGGATGACACTGAAAGTCATGAGATAAGAGAAAATTAACAAACACTTGGGTTTCAAATTATACTAATGAGAATTATCCAAAAAAAAACCAGAGTGAAAAAATTTTAATTCATGCATTAAAATACATGTAACAATAAGCTATTTTAAGCCTCGAAAATCACAAAAGACAAGCCAGTTTCGAACTGGCAAAAGAGTTGAACAGACACATCTCCTGAGAAGATACACATTGCTCAATGAACACAGAGAGACTCAACTTCAACAGTCACTCAGGAAATGCAAATTAAAACTGCAGTGAAGGGCCAGGCAGTGGTGGCACACACCTAGCCTATGATCCCAGCACTTGGGAGGCAAAAGGCAGGTGGATTTCTGTAAGTACAAGGCCAGCCTGGTCTACAGAGTGAGTTCCAGAACATCTAGAGCTACACAGAGAAACCCTGTCTTGAAAAACAAACAAACAGAAAGCCCAGTGAAATACTGCTTCACAGACTAGATGGCTGCACCCGAAACAGCAGCACCAGGTGGTGGACGGAAGCAGAAAGTCAGGGGAACCGACTTGTAAACATGACGCTAAATGTAAGGGGTGAGGGACAGAGTATTGCATGATTCCACTGATGTGAAATGGCAACGGGAGGCTAACCCAGACACAGCAAACAGGTCAAACCCAGAGGAAGTATGACAAGCAGGAGGCACGGGGTTTCTCTGAGGGTTAGAAAAGTCTCGTGGAAACAGTGATCACAGTGGGTTGAATGATGGCCCTCACCATATCTGTTGATGTTCTAGAACTTAGAATCCATAAGTGGATTGGGGTCTTGCCCTAATGATATCTGTTGATGTTCTAGAACTTAGAATCCACAAATGGACTGGGGTCTCCTCTAGGGTCTTTAGGATGAGGTCCTGATGTACCTATTTCACACTTTTGGCCTCCAGAGCTATGAAAGAGCAAATCTCTGTTGCTTTACATCATCTGATGTGTGGAAACATGCTATTACGGAGTAGGAAGCTGGTAACAGGGGTGAGTGACATCAATTTACTCATTGCTTAAGCTTGCTTAGGGTTTGTGGGGTTTTTGTTTTTATGAGACAGGGTCTTGCCTATCCCAGGCTGACCTTGACTAGCTGGACCTCTGATGCTCCTGCCTCTACCTCACAGGATTACATACCCACACCACCACACGCAGTTCTCTGGTGATGCGGATGGAATCCAGGGTCCAGTGCACACTGCTACTGTGCACACTACTCTGTATGCTGAGCTGCATCCCAGTCATGAAGTCAGTTTTATAAATGCTAAAAAGTACTGACCTACATACTTTAAAGGGTGTGCTTTATGATATATGAATAATATCTCAAGGAAGTTACTTCAAAGGAAATACACATATACAGAAACATACACACATGTACATGAGCTCACTCTGCCACATTTCAGGAAGCCCTGACCCTAGACTGATTTTCTTGTATAGGTGAAGGTGTCACCACTGTCCTTCAGATAGGACAAAGTCTATCCTGTGGTGGCTCACCCTCCCTTAATGGCAACATGATTTTTTTTTCTTCTAGATCTGTGTCCTTGTGACTTCTTGGATTGACACTTGCTAGCAGAGATGGCTGATCATGTCTAGTCTATAACTCCACAGCTCTTAGGACCATCTATTCTGGATAAATGTCCAAGACACAGAGCCTTGAGTAACAGAATAACTAGATAATTGGAAAGGATAATTTCCAAGTTATCAAGAAAAAGACAGCAGAAAGAGCATCCTTTGGTTCAGGAGCTTACAGGGAGGAGACTGGGTTAGATTTACCCCGAGTCCAGCAGTAGCAGCTGCTGAAGCCCAGTCATGTGGCTGAGCCAAGCTACTTCTTGGAATAGGGTGACTTCCCAACCTAGAGGTCAAAGAAGGAGGTACATGCTGCCTTGGAATCTGCTGACCTTTCCTGAGGTGCTACCTACCACATGAAGTTCCTGCGGGGATGACGTAATTGTCAGAGCATCCCTTAGCAACACAGAAATCAGTACAGATTACTCTGAGAGGTCACACAGACCAACTTGGGGAGCTTTAAACCGATGCAAGCCCAATCCCAAGTCTTGAAATGTGCAGGCCAAACAGACCTGGAGGCCCGGAGGCTGTGCCTCTGCATCTTACCTCCACACATCACTGCCTTTGGAAAACGTGGAAGCACGGATGACTTCAGGTGCCATCCAAGCGTATGTCCCTGCCGCACTCATCTTGGTGGTCCGGTGCCATTCCCGAGCCAGCCCAAAGTCAGTGATCTTCAGGATCTTGTTACTCAGGTCTCCATTCTCCACTTTCTGCAGGATCAATACTGACAGAGAAAGCAACACAGGAGAAAACAGGTAAGTATGAATCCAGGGTCTCTGCCACCTCCTGCAGGATCTGTGTTCTCTCACCACGCACTGAGGGCAGACACACCACTTAACAACCACCCACAACACGCTCATTCCACACTGTACGTTTTTGTTGGTATCACTTCATGTCCCCACAATGCTCTTGAAAGGCAGGCGCTCCATGCTGAACACCCCTTATCCAAAAACTACTCAGAGTTGCTTCCAAATCTAAAAGGGCCCCACATTCTGAAACTCTTCTGGTCCCACACATTTAAGATTAGGGTACTCGCCCTGTATTGCCATCTTTGTGTCACAGTTCAGGGTTGGATCCCAGGCAGGCTGACTTGAGAGCCTGCTCCCTTGCTGTGGAGTGACAGAAGAGCTGTGAGTCAAACAGACCCCTCTGAGGAGCAGCTCCCATCAAAGCACACCTAGGTCATACCCACTCACAGGTCACAGGGACTGGAGATGCATGCTGGATTTTCAAAGTTTCAGATACAGTCTACACAGCACCCTTACAAGCATACCCACCCACCTTCTGACACTGTGACACTAACATCATCTACAAAGCCCATGTTCAAGAACCATATAACTGAGTCACCAAAATATAAATTGGAAAAAGCCCATCCCCTACCCTCCAATTTTCTGTGTTTTAAGTAAGTTTACCGTTTTGTATTGGACCACATTCATAGCTACCTTAGACACATGAGGACCATATGCTATGGGTTGAGCACACCTGACACTCCTAAGAAAGTCTGCCTATTGGGCCCTGGAGATTTTGTCATAATCCAGGCAGGTCTCCCACAACCAAGTGAGAAATGGTCAATGAGCTGGGGCCAGTCAGAGGCACATGCATGCGCACACTCTTGACGTCCTCAGTGAGCATGCTTAAGGAAGAGGAGCTAGTGCTGGAGCACTGCAGTGTGGGAGGCAGCCCGGCTCTCCCAGGGGAGTTGAGGCAGTCACCTCACCCATATGATGGTCCCAGCCATAAACGTGACCTGGTGGGAGACAATCAAGCTTAAAAATCACCACAAACGTAACCGACTACGGGGCCATATTGTAAACTCTGCTGAGTGGAGGGGGACAGGGGAACTAGGGAGCTGTCCGGATAAATGCAGGAAAAGCCTTGAGCATGGACTCTTTAGCCTGACACAGCCTTGCCTGAATCTGTGTATGTGGGAGTTCAGAGCAAAAAAAAAAGTCTCCCTCTTCATCCTGTGAGGATGCTGGAGACAGTGTAGCAACTAAATTTTAAAAGGGATTCAGCTAGGCTCAGGAAAACAGTAAAAACAATACAAGTTAACCCTCAGCCCAGTACCGAGCTGACCCAGAGGTTTTCCATTAACCCTCGTTGTACCATGGGGCCTCTTATGCAGGCTGTACGTCTTAAATTACAGACCCTGCTAGCAAAGACCCCTCCGTACCTAAAAAACAGAGCCTAGGACGAGAGTTTGGGTCAACTTTAAGGATGGGAGGGGGTACTTTTAGACACAGTCACACCGCTCTTCTCCACCCCTACTCCCATCCTCTGAATTGTCCTATGTTGAAGGGATGTGGGCCAAAGAGCTCCAGGTGCTACGTGTTTCTCAGAAAAGTAGCAGTGTGCCAGGATTACCAGTAGAGCTCAAGGCTGGAAAGAAAACAACTCCACCCTAGACCTAATGGACAAAGCCTCCCTCCTCCTCCACACCCTCTCTACTCCAGCCAGACACATCCCTCCCCACCCTGGCTTCCCCACCCAGGAGCTTGAGCAGATACAAGAGAAGAAAAGGCCCTCCTCTACACATTTAGTAGCAAAAAAAAAAAAAAAAAAACTCCAAAAAACAAACAACAATAACAAAAACACCTTCTGGAATCTTCAGAGGCAGAAACATCAGGAAAGCAGACATTCAAATAGCCAGGCAAGTGACACTAAGGAAATTCCCCATTCCTATTCAGGAAGCCACCAGCCATCAATTGTCCTCAGAGCAGCTCATATACCAGAAATTCAGAGGGAGTGCCTCCCTGAAAATACTCGGAGTGAGGTCCTGTCACCCAAAGCCGTAGGTGGCTGGGGTAGGGTGCAACAAGGAGAGAGATGACGTTTCATATTTGTCTGTCTGAGGGCTTAAATGAGATGCAAGAATGATGGGGCGAGAATCTGTGTATCTGCGTGGAGGAGTACACTAGCCACAGGTCAGTCACGACTGTATCTGCGTGGAGGAGTACAGCTAGCCACAGGTCAGTCATGGCTGTGTGTTTGTGTGGAGGAGTACAACCCGCCACAAGTCAGTCATGACTGTGTATCTGCGTGGAGGAGTACAGCTAGCCACAGGTAAGTTCTACCTACTCACCACGGTCCCGCCCACCTCATACTCAGCTGACCTCACACACTTACCCTTTGCGGACTCCACGACCCAGGGTCCTACCCTCATCAACAAAGAAGGACTATAATCTGAAACCAGTCTGCTAGCTCGGCAAGCAGTAGCAGGCCATCGTGTTCTGACGTACTAGTCTGCCCAGCACCAGCACTTGTATTCTTCACATGCTACTAGACACTTGTTAGCTGAGATGAAATATGAAACATGAAATCAAGCAATGTACAGCCAACCATCCAGTGGAGTATAGCTCATCTACAGCAGTGCACAGCTGCCACCCCTATCTGTTCCAGGACATTTACATCGCCCCAAAGGAAATCCTGAAACCACTAAGCAAAAATTCCCCATTCGTCTCTCCTCCCAGGCACGAGATACCACCAGTCTGCATTTGACGTACACACTGGGAATATTTCATAAAGTAGAATGATATATAGTACGACCTCTGTCTTATTTCACTTAAGGTATTCGAGATTTGTCACATTACAGTTCAATACTTCTCCATTGTAATAAGTTCCTGTTATACTCGTAAAAAGACCGGCTGCTCATTTTAGATCACGTGCTGTGTAACTAACATCACCTTTTTGAGTCCTTCAGTTGTCTCTTCGGTGTAGGGGGATGATGCTGCCAGTTTCATCCAATCAAAAGAGATGTGTAAAGATTAGGTCTGGTTGATGAGGGATAGGAACAGAAGCAGAACCCATACCTCTCGCCTTGTTTTCCACCTCTGTGCCAGGTGACCGGAGATGAGAAAGAAATTCTGTCTTGAAGGCTTAACTCAATCCCTCAATGCTAAGGTCAACTAACTCATGTTCTTTGCTATCCCGTTGCTACTTCTTTCTCAGCAGCCAAAACCAATTGCACACAAGTCAATGGTTCACATGTCTAAATACTCCCTGCTGGGGCATGTAAGTGTCTATCATCTTTTCCTTTAGAATGCCATGGAATCTGACTCCCAGCGGATAAAAATCCTCATCCTCTCCTATAATCCAGATATCTTGCTCCAGGAATCACATACAGGGCCAGGCTCTTGGCAAGAACTCCCTCCTGTCTGGCCAGTTACTGACTGAGGTATACCTGTGCATTTTCTCTGACGATTGCTTCCCCAGGTTAATGTTGAAATATATTGCCGGATGATTACGCAGAGGGGAGCAGAGTCAGAGAGAGCAGTGCCTCGATCAGGGGTTCCCCAGTGACCAACATATCTTGATGCAATGTAGGATGTGGGCTCCAGGAGAAGGGATCATTTCGAGATTTTGCCTGCAGTGGCTGCACCAGTTACTTCGGCACCCCGTGGCCAAGATACCTGAAAGAACCAACCTAAGGGAGGAGAAATCTACTCAGTTTCTCTGTTTCAGAGGACCTCAGCCCACCAGAGTGGGGAGGGCACAGTGCTCACTGCAGAGGACAGAGTGGCAGTGGGTGGTCATGTCACAGCCCAGAAACTGAACTACAAACCTGCCCTTAGTGACCCACCTCTGACAGCCAGGCCCCATGTCCCAGAGGCTCACCCGCTGCCTATCAGTTTAGTAATGGGCTTTATGGACTAGTTCTCCAGACTTAAAAATTTTAAAAATATATTTATTTGTATATTCGTGTGTGGAAACTCTTGCTATAGCAGGCTAGTACAAGTTGAAGGTCTGCTGCAGGAATCAGGTCTCTCTTTCCATGTTGGTACGGGGGATCAAACTCAGGTCATCGGTCTTAGTGGCAAGCCCTTTATGCTCTAAGTCAGTCTAATTTCCTTCTCTTTCTTCGCCTAAGTTTTTCATATTCTTTGCTTTTCTTTTCTTTCTGAGCTATGTCGCTCTGCCTCCTGTCCCTTCAATTGTGTTTTTATTCCCCATCATGGTTTTCTGGGTTGCAAAACTTCTTTCTCATTTTCTCATTTGTTTTCTGGGGTGAGAAGTACAAATGTTCCTGGTGGCAGCTGCTTCTGTAGGATAGGTCTAATGCCTCCTCCCTGTCTTTTTGCTTGTTCTCCACGGCTGTAGCTTCTTGAAGGGCTTTCTCAGTCTGTGCTTTAGCCTCTAGAGTACTTCGCTGAGTCAGGCTCATCCTTGACTCTCCGATGTGACTCAGCACATAGCTGTGCTTGTGTTCAAAAGGGTGTACCTTACGTTTTAAAGGCACACACTGAAATACTTACACATGAATTGACAGGGTGTTGGTGATTTCCTTCAACAAAAGCTGGGAAGGAGCGGGTGACAGAAGGAAGACGAGCTGTGAGTTGGTAATGGTTGAGGCCGAGTACAAGAACAATACTATTCTCTTCACATGGGAACTGCCTTCCATAGGAGGGGGGGGACGGCACATCACAGTGTCAATTGTCTCTTTTACCTAAAGGAAAGCTACCCCTGAGCCATAGAAGGCAGGAAGACGAGAACAGCAACAGACACAGACCCAGGATTTCGGGTCTTAGTGCCACCTCTGTGAAATCCTCTCCAGGACTCCATTTCTTTACCTCTTATTCTCAAAGTCTGTAATTCCCCCAAAAGCATCATCAGTCTTCCCATGACTCAGTTGAGCTCTGCCAACTTGTCTTGAGATAAGAATGGTAAAACCTAAGGGTAAAGATGAGTTGGGGGATGACCCTGCAGCAGAGGAAAAGTTAAAAATCCCATGCAGTCTTTAGGGTGCCCAAGTTGATATTTGAAACATTTCATTCCTGTACCGCAATGCCTCCAAGGGAAGAAGAGGAATAATCCAGAACCCCAACCACAGCCAGTAGCTGCAAGTGCCCACAGAGCAGCTGCTAACACGGAGCAGCCCCTCTGTATTGACTCAGCAAGAGCCCGACAGGAGAGCCTGGCCAGGGACCACTACCAGACACATCAGTACAGCCAGGGCATGTCCCCCAGCCTCTCCCAGTGCTGGCCCTCTGCCCACTCTATCCCTTCAGGCATGACCAAGGGACACCAGACTTGCTTACTGGGCAAGTGATTCACTGCCTAGACTCCCTGGCTCCGGGCTTCAGCAGAGGTGTGGTGCTGCCTGAGCATGGCAGAGAGATGCCAGCAGCAGCGGGGGCCCTGGCTAGGTTCATGCTGTCAGCAAAGTCTCACTGAGTTCCACCTGCATAGCCAGCAAAGCTGGGTTCCCCACAAGCATCCAGACCTACAGAGGGGTGGGGAAATGGAGTCTTTTGGCACTAAAGATCCACCCACTCTTGGGATAGAAGAGGAAATCAAAATGAACAGACAAGTAAGCGCAAAGCCAGGAATAGTTACTGCAATGACCTTTCTTCAGGTCTTAGCCAGAGCAAGCTGAACTGTAATGGTCTCTCCCCCATAGACGAGGTACTCTATAAACATGTGTACTGACTAAATTTTAAAAAAAAAGCAAGCCAACACAGATTGCTCCTTTTAAATTTCTTCAGGCACTGGGCTACAAATACTTGTTCTAGGGCCCTCCATCAGTCACCTAAGAAATTTCACTAATGATTTCTAACTTTTAAAACTATGTCCTTTCTGTGACTTTAGAAAATGTCTTTACAGTGCTACTTACAGGGTGCACCAACATAGAGGAGAACATAGCCACAGCTAATGGTTATGGGGGCCTCAGTGCCAGGTTCTGCACTGAGTGGTTTACACCCATCATCATCTTTAATCCTCCCAACAGGAAGGCAGGTGTATTACTAAGCCTACTTTCAGATATGGAGCTTGGAAATCAAGTAGGCTGGTCCACAGGAAAAGCAGAAGCCAGACATCACGAAGTCAAGGCTCCAGACCACTGTGCAGCCCTAAGAGAACACTTAGGGGGAATTCACATTTCATCAACATACCACCACCACCTATGCACATTTGAAAACGAGAAGGGAAACATTCATTTCAATGCTTTAACCAGAAACTGGGTAAACTGAAGGCAGCACATCCCAGCCTCTAAGACAGCTGTCTGCCTGCCGCCTTTCCCCACCCATGCGGGCATCCCTAGACCTCCAACTCCAAAGGTGTTAACAAATGAGAGAGAGAGAGAACTCTAGGTAAGGGTTAAAGCAGAAGGTTAGAGTCAGCACTGCCAGTGAGAGAGGCCAAACTGAAAACAAAGCAGAAATGGACTGCGGCACTAGTGATCCCGGCAGCCTACCATGCAAGGGCTGGGATTAATGACCGGAAGACCCTGAAAGCTGTGACCCACTGCTGGTCACCTCGGTTGTTCTCTCTCCTCACACGGTAACAGGAGCCACTTACACACAGTTTCGGAAGGGCATGGTGACTTACAACATCATGCAGTCTCCTTGTCCCAAGGACAGCCAGCTAACTAATGAGTGGCTTTCGGCTGAGAGAGAGAGAGCCTTTGGCCCTCAACCTTCATCCATCCCTACACTGTGCAGTCTGGAGGAGGAGAGTGACAGCTACCATCTAGGAGCGTCAAGCCAGGACCATACCTCACAGCCGGCTGAGATGTTAACGGAATAGAGATGTTGTGCCAGCCCTGTTAGGATTCTATTGTGATAAACACCATGACCAGAAGCAAGATGGGGAGGACAGGGTTTATTTGATCTGACAGCTCACAGTCCCTGATGAAGGAAAGTCAGGGCAGGAACCTAGAGGCAGAAACTGAAGCAGAGACCATGGAAGAACATGGTAGAATATTATTTCAAAGAGTGTGACTTTTTTTACGCTGCATTTGTTTAACTCTGTCGAGCTGTGTTACTGTGCCTGTCTAAAGCACCTGGTGGTCCTAATAAAGAACTGAACGGCCAATAGCAAAGCAGGAGCAAAGATAGGCAGGGCTAATAGAGGAAGAGAGAGCAAGAGAACAAGGAAAGAAGGATGTGAGGGGCCAGCCACCCAGCCACCCAGCCACCCAGCCACCCAGCCACCCAGCCACCCAGCCACCCAGCCAACCCAGCCACCCAGCCAACCCAGCCACCCAGCCAACCCAGCCACCCAGCCACCCAGCCACCCAGCCACCCAGCCACCCAGCCAACCCAGCCACCCAGCCAACCCAGCCACCCAGCCAACCCAGCCACCCAGCCAACCCAGCCACCCAGCCAACCCAGCCACCCAGCCACCCAGCCACCCACCACCCAGCCACCCACCACCCACCACCCAGCCACCCACCACCCAGCCACCCAGCCAACCCAGCCACCCAGCCACCCAGCCACCCAGCCACCCAGCCACCCAGCAATCCAGGGAGTAAGAGTCAGATGACCGAAGTAAGAGAACAGGAAAAGCCACAGGCAAAGGGTAAATGGGATAATTAAAGTTGGGAAAAGCTGGCTAGCAACAAGCCAAGCTAAGGCTGGACATTCATAACAAAGAATAAGGCTCTGTGTGTGGTTTATTAGGATGCTTGGTGGCAGTCCCCCCCAGAGAAAAAACTTCTTACTAAAGGAGTGCTGCTTATTGGCTTGCTTTTCATGGCTTTCTCACACAACCCAGGACCACAACAAGCCCATGGGTGGCACCAT